AATTGCCTGAATTTGTGCATATGAAATTACTGTCTTTGGATTATTCAATGTATCATTTGATATATCTTCTAAAACATTCACAGTATCACCAACACGAAGGTTCACATCTACTCGATCATCATTATCAACTATAGTATAGCTAATACTATTGAAATATTTTACGGTTTGTGATATAAGATGTTCAATACAACCAAGTTCTTCTTTATATGTGTGTCTAAGTTCAGCAAATAAATCATCATTAAGAACTTTCTCAAAGCCAGCAGTCTGTAGGTCGTTCTTGTTATATGCTTCTCAGACTCTTATATTGATAAAATTTTCATCTATGCAGATTATATTATATATCTCTTCCTGCTCCGAATCTATTATTGATGGCGAAATGTACCATGAATCAAGCAGCATACGTACATATCGATCCTTTGACAATGTGCTAAAATTAAAGTATGTTGTCTTATCATATCTTTCGTCAATACTACCATCCATTAGAAACCGTAATGCTTGCAAACAATTATCACAGCGCATAAAATCCAGTTCTATATTTTTTTTATTTGAATGAGAGATAATAGCCTTGAAAAGTCTATGCACCATTTCCTTCATAGCAACTGAAATATTCACTAAAGTCACAAAATTCTGTGCATGCATAATAAAATGGCGTAATATATGAAAATTCAGTAATCGATAATATTAGAAAAAACCTGAAAAAAAGGTTAAATTGTTCAAAACATACTAACCAAACTATCAATATTAAATTTTCGATTACCTTCGCAATCAGTCTGGACCATAGTATTATACTTTGTTGAAGATTGTTATAATCAACATCGGAAAATTCTTTGTGAAATGTCAGAGACACCATCTGAGAGAAATAAACTCATAAACCTAATAATTTATCCAGAACCTGACTTTTCGTTATTATGCATATCTCAATCACATATTCGACAAATGTTTTATTTAGCATCGTGATATGTAATGCCCGATTAATGAGAAATGGCATAATCATACTTAGACGAAGATAATCAGAAAAAAAGTATGAACCTAAATGGGTAATTGGATTTTGTTGTCAAAACCAATATGGAGAAAATTCGAAGTCGTGCCAAACTTTCAAAAATTCAGTCTCTCCTTTTGAGGATAAGATTTCAAATGTTGATTGAAGCATTTCTTTGGCAAGACACCCATGCAATGAAAAGCATCATGCGAACATTGAAGATGATGATCACGCATAACGCTATCAAAGACAGGGGGTTTTTCTCGTATACCGTATTGCATAGCAAGTGCATCACGTTGTGCTTGAGTCTGAACTCTCCTTATGGTAGAAAATTGCAATATAGTTTTGTGATAGTAACGACTATGTCTCGCAGTATCAAAACTAACATTATCCAATTCACTATGATGAATCATACAGTTACAGCATCCATGATGTGTATTGTGATTCTTTACTCCCGCCTGTTCATTACCTTCCGGTAAGTCTCTAGTAATGACACCTAATCCACCAGTAACCCACATAGTTTTATTACCGATTTTCAATTCGTATCCACGTTCGAGGTCCTGAATATTATTAATAAGTGGTTGGAGTACTTTATCACTCGTTGCTGCGAATAGGATAAAACCAAGAAGAAAATAATTTTTAAGCTTTTGACGAAGCGTTTGTTTCATATTACCAATTTGTAAGTAGAGGCTACCGATAGTGTGATATGCAGTACGAAACAGACCGAATTTGTTGATATAAATGTCAAGAAAAAATTTGAATATCGGCAAATTATGCGAATGATCTCGAATCATGATATATTCAATGGGATAAAGGTGTCGTAAATCAATCGACCTCATAGTTCACCACGTATTTACACAATACACAATTTCAGATATAACGTATTGATAGTTATTAGGCTTGTTAACATCAATTAACCAAATATCATCTTTGGACTTAATCTTTGCAGGATTTATGACAAGTGTTTCATCAGTCATCCACAGGTATCCTTTATGAGAAGCAATTCTTTTTTGTTGGGATTTGAGCATAGGAGGTAATGAATTAAATTCAAGAATACGTTCGATCTTGATACATCTATCTTGAGATTTATCAACGCGTAAGATCGATATAAT